CCCCAAAACCCCAAAACCCCAAAACCCCAGACTAATGAAAGTAAGAGAATAATCGTTAAAGGAAATCAGATAAATTAAATAATAATTAATTAAGATTCCAGGTACTTAAAATGAAGAGAAGTAATCCTGCGAATAACAACCAGGTATATTCTAACACTATTAACATTATGAGTTATATAGACGCAGAATCAGACAATTGCAGAGGATGTGAATGGTGAAAATAATATGACGAGTGAATACGACGATTTGCCTCACAAAAATGGAGGGCTGAAGAATAAGCTTAGCAAAGGAGGAAAAGGCATGAGTTCTCAGAAGAACATTTCAAATAACGATCTTGACTTCGAAAGAAATGCTGCCCAAAATTATGATAATCATTCTCAGCCAAAAAGAGGACAATCTCAGTCTACAGCAACCCAAGAAAGACAAAGAAAAAACATGTCATAATAGAAAAAAAAAGAGTCAATGAGCAAAAGTGAGTGGGCCATTAGACTAGCCCTTATCAGTAATATCAAGCAGCAGCATGAGTATTTCATTAATATACCTCTAAGGGATGTTGATAATCTAGATATAAAAGATCTAATGGAATAATCCAAGAAAATTGTGTAAAATCAAAATCAAGAGCAAGAGTCAAACCAGTAAAAGTTGTTTAACAACCTTGGCAAATAATCTACAGAAGTTAAAGAAAGAGAAAAGTTGCAGCTAAACGGTAGTCAAAACAGTAAGAACACTAATTGTTAATATATTTATAGCTCGATTCATAGCGAGGTATAGCGACCCATACAGAATAAAATGGGATATTTTTGTGATATATTTAGCATTTTGGAACTGTTTCGTCATTCCAGTCGATATCGCTTTCATTGTAATTCAAATTTACTGATTAATATTTTCTAATTAGACTGAAGAAACGATATTCTTGACAGTTATTGATCAGATTATAAACGCAATATTCTTAATTGACATCATTATCATTTTCCGAACTACTTACTATAATAAAAGAGGAGAAGAGGTCTTTGACTAGAAAGCAATTGCACTAGAATACATCAAAAGTGGAAGATTTTTCTTTGATTTTCTAGCTTGCGTGCCTTTTGATAGATTCATATACACTCAAGGTGATGCTCTAAAAGCCTTTGGTGTTTTTAAGCTCATTAGAATATCAAGATTGTCCCAGATTCTTCAAAAGGTAGATCTTAGAGATGATAAAAAAGCCCTGATTTAAGTTTTGCAGCTACTTTTGTATCTATTGATGTATGTGCATTGTACCACATGCCTTTGGTGGTACATTGTGACATTTGATAACTCATGGGTTCCCCCAAAAGATATCTATCTCGGCAAGACTGATCTTTATGAAAAGCCTGTCTCATTTTAGTATTTCATGTGCATGTATTATGCTATTATGATTGTTGGAAGTAATGAGCTGTTCCCTGCAACCACATTCTAGAAGTTTTACTTAGCTATTATGATGTTAGTGGGCAACTTGATTATCGCTAATATCATTGGAGAGATGGCCGTACTTATGCAGGTCATCACAAGAAGGTCATCTGCTTTTCATGAAAAGCTAGACATTGCTAATACTATAATGTACAACATAAATATTACTAGCCATACTCAAGATAAAATTAGAGATTTTTTCTTCACAACTAGGACTACCTTAGAGCAGCAAAAAGAGTTGAACACTTTCTTGGAACTTATCTCTCCAAGTTTGAGATAATAAGTATCTCAGCATATATTCTATGAAATTTTGTTGAAAAATGAAATGCTAAGCTCCCTCTTTTAAAAACATAAGTATAAAGATGAACCAGTCGGGGAAGGTGGCGACCACTAAATTGAAAAAACTGTGTCAATTAATAAGGATATAAAACTGGCCAATGAAAATAAATTCAACTCACCTTTGATGTTTATCATATAGAATTTGGAAATCTAATTGAACAGACCTGAGGACGTGATAATTCAATAAGAAAATACTGACACTGACATGTACTTCTTGGCTAGAGGTGAAGCAAAGGTTATAATGAAGGATAAGTAAGGCAAGGAATTTCATATCAGAGACTTGAAGGAAGGATCCCATTTTGGAGAGATTGCAATGATCTATAAGACTAAGAGGACAGCATCAGTGATTTCACTCAATTATTCAACATTCGCTATATTGACTGAGGCAAAGTATAAGGAATTGACTCAATACATTCCTGAGTTGCAAGGAGCCATTAAATCTTACATAAATAGATATAAAGACCCAATCAAGAAAAATATAGTGAAAATGATAAGCAGAATTGAGTTTATCAACAAAGAATTCCCTTAGAACTTGCTTACTCAACTGCTTTACACAACTCCTTCAAGATAGTATGACAAAGGCTAACTAATATTCAAGCCAGGTGATAACATGAACACAATTCAGTTGATTGAAGTTGGCATAGTTGAGATTTACAACTACTTTGAGGGAAAGAAGTTCGTGCTTGAGAGGCTATTCAAGGGAAGTGTGATAAATTACAGGAATCTGTTCTTAGACGATGAGCCAATGCAGGTCTATGCTGAATGTCTAACCCTCTGTTATATTCTTGAAATAGAAGAGGACAACTTAGTCTCAATTGTTAATCAGGACTAAAAGACTTAGAAAAGACTGTTGACATATCAAAACGAACTTCTAAAAACTAATCTGGTCTATGCACTGGACTATGTGGTTATCATACCAGCCAGTATCATGGATAAGCACTACAAGCCAAAGAATCTATCCCTTGAATCATTTAGGAGAATGACGCGAATGAAAAATGTGGTGATGAGAAGAATTATTGAAATCAGAGAGTAGAAAGCAAAGCCTAAGCTTCAAGATTTGCTTAGTCATTATCTTGGTAAAGACAAGAATTAAGATCCTAGTCTTACAGATGAGCAAAGAAAATAGATCAGAGCTGACAATATACTCAAACTTAAAAAGAAGTTGCTAGATCTATATGATGATCAAAAAGAAAAAGGGCTCTCAGAAATTGAAACTATTTAAAAGGCAATGAAGAATATCAAGAGAAAGTCAGACGCCTAGTGGTAGATTATTGAGAGCTTGGACACATCTATGAACGTGCTTAAGCAAATTAGAGAGGAGAAGGATAGGAAGAATCTTTAATTAGAGGAAGAAATTCTAAAAGTTTAAAGTTGAGAAGCTCATAGACTTCTGCCAATTTATGAAGTTAACATTTAAAATGAAGTGATTTAATTTATTAATTCCAAGCAAATAATTTAATCGAATTAATAATATATTGTGATGGACGGTAGCTCAATGCAATAAAAGCAGCAATTAGATGAGATTCTAGACTATGCAAATTACAACAAGAACTATGAAAATGTATGGATTCACTTCAATATTATACAAGCTTGGTTTGCTAATATATATCATAGATATTAAGAAACCCCAGTCAAAGGATGATAACATCAGTGAGGGCTTAGGGTCAAACATTATCGCCAAAGAGAGCCTACTTTGAAACTGTAAATTAAAATTTTGCTCAGACAACTGACCCAGCTGTGCTTCAGCAATCTCTGAATCCATTGATAAAAGACTACAAACTTAAACCCATTTATGAAATTGAAAATAATATGAAGTACAAGTAAATGCTTGAGAATGGGTCTACTCATTATAGAGCTAATTTTGACAATCGCAACAAGATAATTTGGAACAACACAGATTTTAGATTATTCAACAGAGACAACCCAGCTACACTTGACATCATGCAGATTGATGACATTCCACTCAAACCAGTTAAGGATAGGTCAAGGTAAATTGGATTTGAGAATAAATTGCCAGAGGAAGATCCCGGACTCAGGAGTAGGATGATCAACAATCAAAATTTAAACAATACTATGCATTTTAGACAATATGGCGAGCCTCTCCCGTAATCCTCATATAAAGATCAGTTTGGAAAGACTATAGCAAGGGCAAACCCCATTGAAGTTAACTAGGGAAGTCAAAGAAGACTCGATGATGCTTTGAGAGATCAAGGCTAGCTAAGAGACACATTTGTGACTGTAGGCCCATCCCCTTCACAGAGATATAACTCAGTCGTCTCTAAATCTTATAAGGAGTAAGCTAATTAAAACTTAAACGTTCTATAGGTCCCCTTTTAAATCTCTTTAAAGCAATATGGCGAACCCTGCACCTCAGAATTAGGATTACGGAATGAACAATCAAAAAGTATAATTTCAAATGCCAAGCTAATACCCCTAATAGCAATAATTCCCTTAAGGGATTCCTAACTTAAATGCATCTTAATCTATGGCTTAATTTGAGAGAGATCCAAATTAATAGCAGCAGTTCATAAACAATCAAGCAAATTTAAACAACTCAATGAAATCATTTTTGAACGTAACTGGCAAATACCTAGACACATCTGGCAGGAAACCTCCCTCTAGGCATTATCAAATAGATGAAAACACGAAGAAGATCTATTCAACCCTTTATCCTGAGCCAGGACTTGCCAATAAATTCTCAAGTGACAAGATCAACCTTGTTAATAACCTTCCTCACACTACCTAAGTCATGAATAATTAGAGTAATTCAAGCTTTAATCAAAATTCAATGGGACTGCAAGATAATCCATACTTTAAAAATTATCAATAGTAAGATAAGTATTCGCAGAGTCTAGCTGAAATATCAGCAAACTAGGATATAAGACCTTCTTATGGAAGTCTGATAGGCCTAAGTAGAAGAATTGACAAGGGCATTTCTGATAAACAACTGCAGGGAGACACATTCTCCTAGGACAAGAGATACTATGACTAGATAATGCTTGAGAGCAGGAGGTAGAGGACGAATCAGGGATAGAACATGTTTAATTCAATGCAAAGCAGTGCAATTAATATGATTCACTAATGAAAACTATGACTTTAACTTATTCAGTTTAATACTATCCTTAATCATAATAGTTCAGAGTATTTAAGCAATTTATTATTTCAAATTATAATCTATTTAATTATATTAAATACATTGCTAAACCTAATGCACGTTCTATCTTCTTGATTGAGAGATCATGAGAGAAGGTATTGCTTGGATGGGGGTTTAGAGTTTAACGATGAAAACTTCAGACCTGTTCTGAATCACAGCTAAAATAGTTGTGAGTGGTGTGGACAAAACCATGCTAATTCTGATTCAAACTCAATTCCATTTCTATTATATCAACCACAAACTCAAATACATATTTAATATATGCTGCCTGAAAATAGATTTATTTTGCGACTTGGGGTTTTGGGGTTTTGGGG